GACTTTGGACACAGCAACCTTGTATGAGCTATAAGAACAGCAACTTTTAAACAGAGAGTGGACAAGGAGAGATGGGCTTGTGCACGCTCTCGCCTGCATTTAATAGGCGTTCCCTCTCGGGAGCGGGGACAGGGTTGTGCATGTGCATTTCTTTTTAAAGGGGAGTGGGTGGATCTTTTCAAAAATTCACGAAAATCCTCCACTATATCATTAAGCTCTGTTCCTATTCTGCCTTAGAGACACCCAGTATCTCTGTTACAAGAAAAAAAAGCCCACTTCAATACCCTCAAAGAAACACCAAAGCAGCTTTTAAGGACAAATTATCTATTGATCAATATATCCATTTGTTTCAGTTTTTACCTTGTCTTTTTAACCAGTTTATTCCACAGAGTGTTTTGTTTTATCTTTTTTAATGTGAAATTGTTTTTATTTTGTGTTGGGCAAAGCCAGTGGGGAAAACAATCACTAAACTACACACAGAGAACAAAAAAAGCTGACTGATTTCAGGAATGCAAAGTGTTAAACTATTTTCCTCACAACTCCCAGAGAGGAGGAGTTCCTTTTAGCTAAAATCCCCAAGATTTCACAAAGCTGCACATATTTGTGTCATGAACCACGGACAGATGGACCCAGTATTCAAGGAGAGACAGTCAGTAGGAAAGTTCAAACGTTTATTAAATATAAACAAAAGCGGAGCTGTGGCTCACGGACACTGCAGGCAGGGGGGCAGGGCACCGCCCAATCTCATACACTCTAGGGGAGAAACACAGGTAAGTGACCACGATCATCTGACAGAAGATGATGTTCTCAGTGAGTCACTTACCTGGTTTAGCAGTCCAGACCAAGAATGTCCCAGTGCTGCAGTTCCAGAGGTCACACTGGAAGCCGGTCCTGGTCAGGGATCCAGAACAGACAGAAACAGACAGGAACAGGCAGGATCCAGATCAGGCAGGAGCAGAAACAGGGGGCAGGATCCAGACTTCTAGGCATCCACAGGCTCCCAGGAGGGTTCAGAGTCAGACTGGGACCAGAAGCATGACCAGGTGGTCACGCACAGGAGCAGACAGGATCAGGTGCAGATGAGCAGGCTCAGTGGAAGAGGGTAGCCGAGACAGAACGTAGGAACCAGAACTTGAAGCAGGACTTTAAACTGGTCTCCTCACTGGAGCCAGGCTTACTGGATAAAAACTGAACCTCCCCCCATAATGAGCCAAAACCCATAGGACTCTGTGGGGGAGGAACAGTGGACGATCAGGAGACAAGACAAACACTAAAACCCTCTTTCCACTGGCTGCTATTATCCAGGACATGAACCATCAAAACAAACTGAACAGAAAGACTAACAAAAAGACAAGCAATGATCTGGCACTGAATGCTCAGGCTGAACTGAATATAACCCAGAGGAAACAGGTGAGAGGAATAAATTATATTTGAGGCAGGGAAGGAAGAGGGCAGGTGAGAGGAATAACTAATTAGGGGAAAGCAAACAGGCCTGATCATGACAATTTGTGCACGGCTATGTTCCTCCTGTTTGCTCACAGTTCTAATCTTATTTGTTCCTTATGTATACAGTTTTCCCATAGCTTAGTAGTTGTGCTGGTACTGGCTAAGTTGAAGGATTTCTTGATTTCAGTGTTTAATTGGGGGGGGGGGGGGTTATTTGGGTGGATTTTGGATTGGCTATTCTGAAAATGTGAGCAGTACTTCCATACTTTCTTATAATGTCCTATAACATCACACCTTGTCCTGCAGTTATGCTACTCATAAAACTATAATTGGTCATTTTAATTAAAAAAACTATTTTTGTTAGTAATCACTTTGCAACTCATTACTGGTTTTTAATAGCCAAACCAACAGCTTTTTAGGATTATGTGACACAAACACAGTATAAATGTGTTTGCTTCACATACCAAGCATGAATGTAATTGGAAGACTCCTACCTGCGCCGGCCTATCAGTGGAGCTCCTCGCCCTCGCTTCATCCTATCATCATTCAAGACTTTGAATCTAAAGTGCAGATCCACAGATGCTCTTGACAGATGCTCACACATATCAACTGCGTTCCTTATTAACGTCTACTGCCAGGGTCTAAGCACCAAAGACTATTTTATTTCAATACATTGGTACATATGCACTTGGTTTGCAGCTATTCGCCATATGAGTTCCTACAGATTAAAATGTTTTCAAACTTCTGAAAGACAAAGAACTTGCTTTGAGCTAAATTTTGAACAGTTACTTTGATGTGTATTAGTATTGGATCAATGTACGCTTACATGAAAAAAATAAATCAAAAACTTATATCGGGGCTTCTTCACCATTTATGCATTTCTACTAGAGCTTTTAATATTGTATAAAAAGCTTATATTTGCTGCTATTCCATTTGAATTTACTTTTATGCTTTCCCTTTTTAGTTACAAGAGCAACAGCGAACCTCTTTCATGTTAAATTGACACAATTAGGTGTCATAATTTGGGGTTAATAAGCATCCTAAAAGTCCTCAGTGGGGTGTAAGATATGCCATGGCTGTTTTTGTAACGGCGGCCTAAAAATGTAGACTTAGTTGGTAATCCCTGCATCCCTGCACAAGTCATCTCCTATCATAACATTATTCTGCCTGGCCTGAAGGTTGTTGAGCTGCAAAGACAACACAACCCTGTGAGCCAATAACTGCTGTCATTTCGGTCCCTATTTCTCCGTCTCTTCACATCTATATTGTTCATTCTTTTTTGCCTTTTATTCAAAGTTTTCTTGTTTTTAAATCTCTAAGCATAGCTAAAAATAAATCAAGTCATAGATAGTTTAAACCTATTGAAATTAACGATCAAAATTAATGACCAAATCTACATTTCTTCTATTCTCTTTTCTGCTTTGGCTGAAATTAGATTTTGACTTCCATTTAAAATTTGAATGTCACAAATTATGGTTTAGATGAAGACAAATTATAATTATTTACTGGGAGATATAAAAATAACTAAAATCTTAGAAGGATGGTGTGTGTAGGCTCCTCTCCTGTGGAACCAACTGCCAGTTTTAGTCCGTGAGACTCTGTCTACATTTAAGGGTAGGCTCAAAACTTTCCTTTTTTGATAAAGTTTATAGTTAGAGTGGCTCAGGTTATCCTGACCTATCTCTATAGTTATGCTGCTATAGGCTTAGACTGCTGGAGGACATTTTTTATCATTGCATTTCCGTCTCAATCTCTATTCTCCTACTCTGCAGAATCTGTTAACGCCATGCTCTTTCTGCTTTTTCTCATAGTAGCTTCATCTGGTAAGTTCCTGTTTGGCTGTGGCACCATCCTGAAGAGAAATATCAGCTGCGCTGCTGCGATGTTTATGCTCGGCCTGTTTTTCGGTGTAGTCCTGTTTCTGTGACTGGCTGGATGTGCTCTCTTTGTCTTCTGACGTGCGAGCTGGCTCGGAGCTTGTCTGCCTGGCTGCGTGTTTCCTGGACCGGGCCACCTGTGGAGCTGGTTGACAGTTGCCTTTTGTATCGCTGCTTCTTTCTGTATTTCTGCTTCAGTCTCTTTTGAAATAAGACACAGAAATAAATTTTTTTTTTTTATGTAAATTGTCTTGTTCCATTGGTAAAATGTCTCTTTTATCTCAATAAAAAAAAAAAATACTTATTTTCAGAAAAAATGACTTATCTAGATTTCGATTTTTTCCAGTATAGGTATGAACATGTAACGGTTATGTTTAAGGTAAGGTTTATGGTTAGGCTGTAGAAATGAATGGAAGTCAATGGAAAAGCCCTGCAACTAGAAAAGGTTGACAAAGCATACAGTAGCTGATATTTGTTATCATGAGTGTTAATCATAATAAGTCCAGATGAATAGTATATATTTTATTTTTACCTTACACAAGGCTTTATTTACACCATAAATGCTCACCATTTTAAATTCATTTGGTTTAATAGGACCAAGCAGTAACAAGACATGGACAAGGATCTTTTTGTTATTACAGTCATTCACACGGTTTTCTCTTGTCTCTGTTCTGCAATTCAAGGTTTCACAAACCCTGAGACACATGAGTAAAAAATTATTTTGATTATTTCAATCATTGAAATTGTTTGCACAGCATTTCAAACATTTAGCATTTCAAACACATTTAAGGACTGTGCATTCTTATAAGAAACAAAAAATGTAAAGGTGTTGCTGCTACTTTGTTTGATGTAACACAGTTTAACAGCATCATGTCACTTACCTATAAAATATCTTTGGGGTCAGCACATTTCTTTTAAGGGATGAAAAAAACCCTCAGTTTTCTGTTTAAACATTTTTATTTCCAATGCCTGTGTCTTCTTCTGTGTTTTCTTTAGTTTTGTTGGCAACACAGCCAACAATTATGTATTCAGATAAAAATGATTTGCACATGTGATATATAGACATCGTAAAGTATGTCTATATACATACTCATAATTTTGAGCCTTCTTCCAGGGTTAATTTAAATGAATATCAAGTATGCATTTGAATTTAGACCCATCATCCATCCATCCATCCATCCATCCATCCATCCATCCATCCATCCATCCATCCATCCATCCATCCATCCATCCATCCATCCATCCATCCATCCATCCATCCATCCATCCATCCATCCATCCAATTTCAACTTTTATTTTCTTTTAGAAAATTTAACCTCACTCTCAGTATTTATTTGCTTTTCTTTATGTTTTCTCTCAGCAGTGACAGTAGTCTATGGGGAGCAAAGTCTCTAAATAAAAGGGACAGCTGTTCTTGACTGACTGTTGAGATTCAAGTGAAAAGCGATTCATATTTTCATGCCGTTATTTTTTTAGATTTGGGATTTTTTTAAATGGTTTAATTTTGATTCATTGTGTGTAATGTGTATAAATAGTTACAAAAGTAAAAACACTTGGTTTATACTATCTGGTCAAATATTGTGTTCTACCCACAGACCCAAATACTCTCTTTAAACCACAATTAAGTCACTAAACATTTAAGTAAAAGTGCTTCAATGAAAAACAAGACAGGAAATTACAATAATAAAGCATTTTAATACTGTTCTCAACATTGGCAAAAGAATACAGGAATGCTACAACTGAAACTAACAGACAACATAAGAAACAAACTGGGAAGGTAGTGTTAAAAACATTTTATAAACATAACCTGCTATTTTCACTGACCAAAGAAGTATAGAGAATCTTCCAGTTAAATGAATGAGTAGGAGAGAAACCTGGCTCTATGGCCATCTATGACAGTACAAAAGAGGACTGGGAGAACAGGCTGATGATGGACGGTCTTGATGCATAAAACAAAGAAAGAAAAATTTACAACTGGACAAAACAATGCAATGTAGTTCATGTTTCTTCACGTACAACATTGTAATAAAACAGTGGGAAAATAAAAGAGCCTTTATATATTGAAATGCTGATCAGCATGTATACGAAATAGAGGTAGACCATCCTGCATTACCTAAAATGTCCATGCATTCACCCGTTTATTAGTGCATTCAGCAGGCATGCCTTGAGATCTCCTCAAGTGCATTGCCGCTACCTCTATTTTCTATCTATTTTTAATGCTTTGTTTGATTTGTAAGTATATGTTAATTCTTTGTTCATATTGAGACTGGCATAATATTTATCACTATATCATTTTTTTCATGTAGATAAAGAGAAAGCAAAATCATCTTCAAACATTAGACAGAAAGATCGGCAGAAAAAATCGGGGATAGGTTAGATTAATATCAAAATCATCTGATGTCTTTTTTAAGGTAGTCAATATCTAATGCAAAACCACTACAAATGAGTCCAAGTCTTTAGCAGTGTCACAACGGCAGCTCTTTAAAACTACAAAAAATGTCTTCAGTAATCTTCCAACGGGGAAAATAGGTCAAGAAGAAAGACAGACACCAGAAGGTGTGAGTGTGCTCTGCTGTGAAAAACATGTTTCTTATTAAGTCAATATATGACATATATCTGTAAAAGAGAACACATATTAATTACACTTCTCTGTTGCAGTTTTTACCATGGTTTTACCAACTGTTTTTTTTTTTTTTCATGTGATGTATAATTCTAACTCTCTCAAGCCCATTTGATTATTAAACAGTGGAAGATATAGAGGATGATATTTTATTTCCGGGTGGATTATCTAAATAAGTGGTCCTCCTAATTGTCAATCATTGTGGTGATATGTTTATGTAACTCCAAGACAATATGTTGGATGCAGCTGTCTCCCAATCCTTAAGTGCGTTAGGGAGTTTCCTGTGTGCATACAGAACTAGATATCCTCCACCTGAAGTAGTTTATCTTACTTACTAAAAACTATTTAGAATGTGTTATTCCTAATGGGTGTGTTTGCATGAGATTTTGAGAGAAATAACTTGTATTTATTTCCTGCTACTCAGGAAATTTTACTGATGTTAACAAAAAAATAAATATAAAAGTAAGAAAGAAAACATTGTTCTGTAAAAAATGTAAAAAAAATAAAACAACATGTAAATATTGTATGTAAATACATAATCACTATCTCCATTGATACTGTAATTTTAAAAGCACTTCTTGACACTTTCTCTTAAAAAAAAGGAATAAGCACCATATTAATAGGACTGAAGACATGTCATCTCTACCCATAGTGTTTGATGCACTTTTTTTTTTTTTTACATAGGACAAGGACAGTTATTTCACACACACACAAAAAAAAAATTTAAATGGGAATATGTCAAATGGTCATGTGACTGTCTAATGGCAACACGTGTAAAAGGATATATATGAGGACATTTGTTAATAAAATGATCTATGCAGAAAATGGTTTTCACTTACAATGTAGAAAACAGAAAACAATACTAATTTCCTACAAATTTATCCAAAACCTCCTAAATTAGTTTGATAGAAGCAGAATTTCACAGGACTATGATCTACAGAGGATCCTTCAGCATGAGATGGTTCAATAATTAGCTTTCCACTGCAACTCATTTTCTTTCTGTGCATCCTAAATGAAGTTGGTATAAAACTGGACTATTAGAATTCATCATAGTATTTCACCTTCTTTCCAATCCTCCACATGTGCAATATTAGTTTAATGTGACTTTATCATGGTCAAACATTATGCTGTTACCGGGGTGATAACTGTCTGCTAAGACAGACAATATTCTATATGTAAAACGTTGGCAGCTGGATGCTGTAGTGAATTAAAAAACTTACAACTGAAACTGGACTGATTACAGTAAGAAAACTGAAATCTGCACAGGCACTTGTCTTGCTTAATATTGCTACGCTGTATGATTTGATGACAGTTATTGGAAGGGACTCTGATGCATTCTGATGTATTCAGCCTGTATGAATGGCGGTCGGAACTAAAACAGGAATTGAAACTTTTATCTCGATGTTCCTATATTTCAATTTGTTTTTGTTGTTGTTGTAAGCTAATTTGCCACTCTGACAGATTACAGAAAATTTGGCCCATGATAAAAGTTTTTAAATTCTTTAGTCCTGGTTTGCAAGGTCCCCAGGCTATTGCTCACAGGCAATATTTCTCCCCTTAATAGATTTCAAAATTATCCTTTAAATTAGTGTTTTCCAAGGTGTGTGGCCAGCCCCTTGGAGGGTGGCAGGGGAGGAGGGTTATGGAAGAATAAATTAATTTATTATTATCATTATTGATGTTGAATATGGTTACACAGTAAAACAAACAAATAAAATAAAAAATACACTTTTTAAATATGTTATTTATGTTCAAAGTGTATAATTTATTAAATTAAAATATGTAATTTACTATAGTGAATTTTCCTGGGTGTGGGATAATGGTAATTCCTTTATTATAATTCATATAAACAGAATGGGGACCCAGCAATAAAGTGTGTCAACAATTGTTCTAAATCTTTATGTGTTAAACTGTCATTTCAGTTGGAGAGATACTGACGGCACTTATGTCTTGGGTGAGCATTGCATATGTACCGTTACCCAAGTTTACATTTTTATACATGGACATTTTTCTATATCTTTCAACTGCAATATCACCTATATTCGTGGTTTGTTTTTTTGTTTTGTTTTCCTTATTAGCTCTCTTTTAAGGAAATGTCAGGCATTACATATGCCCATTAAGGAGACAATAATATTACTCAAAAGCTATTTACAACAGAGACATGGTAAAAATACTAAAATTCACAAAGTAAAAGCAGAAAATCAACAGCTGATCTAGAATAACAAAAAAGCAGCTAACAACAGTTGTACTAATCTTTCACAGTAAATTAAATTCCATAAACTCCAAAGGCTCTGCGGTGTAGGAAACTGTGGTGGTTGAGTAGAGACAGCAGACTCCCAAATCTGAATTCAAATGAACTTTTTTTTCCCCTTAAGTATCAATTTCGAAAATTAATTTTAGACCTTGGATGCACTGATAGTCTGTAATGTCCAAACGTGTATTTATTTTTGCTTATTCAAATTACTGTAAGCCTTGTGGAAGTCACCACAAAATGTGGTTTTCAGTGCAATTTTTTTATACACAATTCAGGTATGCAAAAGTTTGTGATTAAAAAGTCTTCATGTCTTTGAGCCTCTGGCGCTTTTCCAGTTCAAGGCTTTTTTTGTTTCAAATTCCCATATCCAGCAACAGGATTAAAGTGTTTTTCTTTCATATAAAAAGAAAAAAAACAGCAAAGAGTTCTAGTAGGTCACTGCAAGCAGGCTTTGTCCAAAACTGAGACCCTCCTAATTGATTGCACTTGATTTTTTGATTGGATTAGATGTTCCACTGTCAAACCCTGTTACATGAATTTAAATCACATATTTTTCACTGTCACGTAGTTGTTAAGCATATTTTGAATACGCTGTGGTCTGAAATCCATAAAGATGAGTCTCTTAAATAGATTATCTGCTCTGTTATTCCATCATGTGCACAACAGAAGACAGTAAGTGCCCTTTTCAAACAGTGGAAATCTGATATGGGTATAAAAAGAAAAAAAAATATAAAGAGAACTGCAGCATAGTCCTGACGGGAACTCCATTTTTATCCTGCTTAGCATTAGAAATAAGACGGCTTCACTGTTGATATATTGTTATTTGATGGGTAGTGTCCTTGTATCAAGGGAGCCTCATGTTCCAAACTACCGTTTTGTTGCAATAATGGAGGTGGTTGTGGTGTTTGGCAACGATCTCCCTGAGGCTGTTTGATAGGAAGTTTAGCATGGACTCCATTTTCCATACAAACTTTAACTTCCTCAAAGTCCATTGCCTCAGGATCTGTTGGGCCAAGCTCTAACTCCAATCCTGCAGTTGCCTGCCTTTTCTTCTGTACACAGACTATAGCTCCAGCCACAGCAGCCAACAACAGAACTAATGCTAGGACCCCAAGGGCTGCAATGAGAGTCTTTGTCATAGGGGTCTCTGGATTTACCAAAGGCTCTACAGACACAGTAGGACTAGTGCGAGCCTCTGTACAGGGACCCATTTCTACAGAGCTGTTGCCTTTAAAACGGATCTTTTCTCCAAGGGGACTGGCACAGACTAAATAGGTGCAGTTTGGTCTCAAACCACGCAAAGTGTATTCAGGGTAGGATGTTGGTAAACTCAGAATCATAGGACGACGGTCAGGACCTGAAAGGTTACGGTAGGTCAGCCTGATACCACGGATGTTGGGCCGGGTCTCAATGAAGCTGTGCAGGTCAAGAAGTATTGATGTTGATGTAACTTCCCGTGAGCTGATCTCGTCAAGTTTATAGGCCAACACCGAGGTTACCACAGAAACCTCTGTTGCGGAAGGCTGCAGGAACTCCGTTTTTTCTCTTACAGTTTCACAGTAGAGGCCTGATGTTCCTGATGAGCACAAACAGGTGATTGTTCCGCTTAAATCAAAATAGCAAGTCCCGCCATTGAGACAAATGTTTTGCGGGCAGAAATGTAGCTCATTTTCCACACCTGAAAAACTCGGGGAAACTGGAGGTTCTGATCCAAAGCGAGGATTGTCTGTTACGAAGGACAAACTTTCATCACTAGGAGGTGGAGGAGGAGGAATGGCGTTGGTATAGGTGGTTTCTGAAGACGTTGTAGGGATTTGGGGAACATGAGTATTTTCTAGAGGATAGCCAATAGATTCCGTTGTGGTAAGAGGACATCCAAAATCTTTGTGCTCCAATGCAGAAAGCTTCTTCCCAGCATTAACTAGAGGAAAATGGCATCTGGTTTCCTCAGGTCTCATCATCATGATGGGTTTTTTTTCTTTTAGCCAAACAGGGAACCAGGCTAACGGACAGAGGCAATTAAAAGGGTTCTCAGCTATGGTCAGTTTTGTCAACTTGGGAAAGTTTTCAAAAAAACCTTCAGGAAATCCCTGGAGATTAATTCCGCTTAGATCCAGTTCTTGAATTGCGACCAGCTGCTTAAGATCACTAACTTTCACTTCGAAAAGTGGGTTAGCAGCCAGGCTTAGTTTGGTAAGGCCCTTTAGAGATTCCTGCTTTAGAGCTTGAGGGACTTCTTGTAACTTATTCGATGATAAGTCAAGCTCATGAAGGTTTCTCATGGAGGCTACGAGAGCTTCATCCAAAGAGGAGAGGCCCAATGAGGATAGTTTTAGGGTTTCTAGATGGGGAGTATGGAAGTTTGGGGATTCAAGTGTTGGGATTTTATTGTTGCTAAGATCTATAAGAAGTAGTCTGGGAAAATCGATCGAAGGCAGAGATGTAAGCTTGTTTTCTTGCAGTTTCAGCTCCAACAGCATCTCTAAACCCTCAAAAGCCTCCGGGTGAATGCTCTGTATGAGGTTTCCATGGAGATACAGCCTCTCTAACTGGACCAACCCTGAGAAACTTTCCTTGGAAATGTGAGTTATATGATTTGCAGAAAGGTCTAAGTTATTCAGTTTTGAGAGTGATTCAAATGCATTGTCAGGAATTTCTGTTAACTTATTTTGGCTCAAATCTATTGATTTCAACTCAGTGATGTCTTTAAAGTCATCCCGGGTTAAGGTGACAATGTCATTTTGGAAGATGTATAGGTTTTCAGTGGAGATAGGGACACGGGGTACACTGGTGGCCCCACTTTGAACACAAAATACTGTGCTTGGAGATTTGCAGTCACAGATTTCTGGGCAATCACTGGAGAACACCGCTTCACAGGAGAGTAGGAAAAAGGCAATGTGAAGGAACATGATGACAGACCAGCGCTCTGAAACAGAAAAATGGGAGAGAAAATACTTGTATTATTGATTTATTAGTTTAACTGGTCATATAGATATATTTCAACAAAAGCCTGAGGGTATATTGACTTTGAGTTTTTCAACACTTTAACAACAAATTGATGGAAAATAATGGGGGGTTGTTACAACTTATGAATTTTTATAGATCTGACAAATGAAATCTAAACATGTTAGCAGGATAAGCTATGCATCCAGTAGAACTACTTTTGTTTTTTGCTTTCTTTCCAAGCTTTCTGACCTCCGAATTGCACTGAGCTGAGATCAGCAACCTGATTATCTAACTTTTACAATCAGTTTACATCTTAACATGATCAAATTCAAACAAGCAGATGCTGTAAGGACAGTTTTGGTCCTAATGTAATATCACAGTAATGTAAGCATTTTGACATATTGTATTCATAAAAAAAACCTCATTTAATTGATATAAGTTAACAAAACTAAACTAAATACATACATTTCAATATTTAGAGTTACATCCAGGGAGAACTGTTACACCTTTGAATGGGTTAAACTAGATGCAGTGCATTACAAAGGATGGACATGTTATAAACCTTTTTTCTTTTATGAAGAAATTTTGCCCTGTTCAAAGGGCTACCCCTCCTGACCTATTTAGTGAAAGTGATACGATGGCATGATTGCAAGGGCTGCATGAAAGAAAAAATAAAACACTGAACTGTATGAATGTGTGACATCTGGATAATAGTCTGCAAGTGGAGGATATTTGATACAATCGTGGGTACACCAGGGCCGGAGCTTTAAGCAAGTTCCCCTTCAATGTAGCTCACAACATGTTAAAGAATGTCTCTTAAAAAATCTAATATCATCATAGGTCAGGTCCTTTAGCAGGACGGAAAAGTTTAACTAACAGCAGGGGGTGTTACTAAGGAAAATGTCAGATCATCTTTAAAAAAAAAAAAGAAGCTAAAACTGATTGGTTTCAAACATACCAACATAGAGCAGCAGGTAAAAGTACAGTAAGAGGTCTTGACTTTCACTTGGACATTCGAACAAACATTTAAATGTTTCCACTAAACCACTAAAGAGTTTTTTGTTTTTTTTTAGCACAAACTGTCATGTTGAAAGGATAATCTTTGTCCCACAGGCAGACTGGCCGGATTTCACTCAAGAATATTCCTGTATTTGAACAATCCATTTTCCCTAGACTTGGACCAACTTCCCAATTTCTGCTGCTGCAAATCATCCCCAACGCTGGATGTTGCTACCACCAAGTTTTACAGTGGGGGTGGTGTTTTGGGGATGATGGGATGTGCTGGGCTTGCACCAGACATATATTCGTTCCTTGGGTGTAAAAATATGCAGTAAAATGGTGGTGCTACAAAGGAGCCAGCCATTGAAATTTAGATTTAAACTCGAAATGTGTTTTTTTTTTTTCATTAATACACGATTTTACCTCACTTGATGAGTCAGACAAACAGACCACTGGTTTCATACCAAAAGACAGAACTGCCAAGATGGAAATAAAACTTTCATTATGCAGAATCAGAGACTGTTAATGGAACATTGAAACTGTTTGCCAATGTTTTCGGGATTCCAGATTACTGCTGGCATGCAGCCTCAGCGAGTAATTTGATGACAGGAAAGGAGAGGAAAGATAATTGTATGTTAGTATCAAAACAGGAAGAGTAAGAGTAGAAACTGGGACATAATGTTATGATAGATGGGTGCATGGAATAATAAAAAAATGTCTTTATATATCCATTTCTTATTGTGGTGTTAATAAATAGGCCAATAACTTATTTTAAGGCAGGCTTTTAGACATACTCCTCAGACATACAAAATAGAAGATTATACTAAAAATAAAACACTAACAAGCATATGTTTTTTAATTCAGCTTTGGAAGGAAGATATTTGTGATTTTTGAGGAAAAAGTTGTATGATTGGGTGAATTTATAAAAGTTATTTACTTCTGCATACTCCTATTCGGATATGTAATTTTATTAGGCAAGTGCATTGGATGTATTTATGTTTGTCCAAAATGTGAGTAAAAAACTGAAGTTATGATCAAAAACATTAGACATCATAATAAAATATAAGGAACAAATTTTACTATATTAAGAAAAAGCCATGAAATCAAGCATGATTCTTTACGTACAGACTTAGTTGCCAGTTTCATTAATTAGTTCAGTTCAGCGCAAATTCACAACACGTCATCTCAAGGCACTTTATTGTTTAACTGATCATATAGTGCAAGCTTGCCAAAAGAATTGGTGTAAGCATAAACAAATACGTTGAATTAGTATCGTGGAAAAGGATTTTCTGTTAATAATATTACTCTGGACCCTTTTCAATAATGAAGTAAATATACCATATGTAGCAACTTTTAGACTTTTTTTAAATGTATAAGACTGCATTATAAGGCAGAAAGTAGATAAATTTCACAGTTATACCTTCCCACCTGCTTTCGATTGGTAACTTTCTACTCTGGTAATTGTTTTGTTGTCATCCTCGTAGCTGCAGCTGCTGAAACATCACATAATTCCTGGAAAAGGATCTTGCAGTGTGTTTTTTCATTGTTCTATAATCCATCTATAAAACACATGAATTTTTGACTTAGTTCACATTACGCTGAGAACAAGTATTCTTAAAAAGTAGTTTTTACGCCCACCAAGGACACAACATATTTGAGGACACGAGACGAAAATGAGGGTTCAAAAAAAGATATTTTATTAATAAATTCTCTCCGCTTTAGTTGTTCTTGGTTCGGCTTCTTCAAATGTTCTGCGGAGAGAAAAATAATTAACGGCCCTCAAATCCCGTGCCCCAAAAAAATAAAAAAAGAAACCCAAAGTAACAACAGAAAGTTGGACCTGGCAGGCCGATCAAACAGAATAAAACGGTACAGCAGGGGGCCAACCCTATACAGGGCCGTCGAAGCCCCTACTGGTACCGGACTAAAGGCAAAAAATAACCTAAGCAAAAGAAAAATCGAAAACAGGACTACCGGTCCCGCCAGGCCAAAAACCTCAAGAAAAAAGTAAGAAAAAGGTAACAAAAATACCACATGGCAGGCTGGAACGTCCGCTGCAGGCCGCAGTGACAAGACAAGTGCGCACCGCGCACGATGGAGCAAATGAAGCAGGTGGGAAGTGGCGTCCAAACGAGGTTGGAAAGGAACGCGAAAGGAACGCGCAAGGAACACGCAAGGAACACACCAACGTGCTGAAGGCCAGCCTATTTATAGGCGGACGACAGCACCACAAATTAACATAATTAATTTACTAAAAGAATCCTAAAATATATTAACAAAAAGATCCTTCAACTAAAGTTTATAAGCAAACGAAGAAAAGAAATGGACAAAAATCATAATGTGCCTGGGGCACATAACACCCCCACCCAAAGACTCTGAATGGGGTCCGAAGCAAAGCTCAACCCATTCAGAGAAAAAAAAAAAGGAAAGCGGGACTACAGTCGTGAGTGTGCGTCGGCCACTACATTGTCCTATCTTCACATAATAAAAACACGTTAAAAGGAAAGCGGGACTAGAGTCAGGAGAGTGCGTCAGCCACTACGTTGTCCCCTCTTCCTACAAGAAAAAACGCGTTAAAAGCTGTCACATCAAGACATAATCCAATGCGCTCTCAATGCCACCGAGCTCGCAAACACAGCCGATCCACCAACTCCAGTCTGCGTTCTTCCAAAAACAGCTCCTTTTCCATCAAAGCCAGCTGTCCTAATTCGATCTGAAGTTCCTCTAAACGACACGGATCAGCTGCAAGTGAGGTTTTATTCGGCGATTCATCAAGACTCTGTGCTAAAACTGCAGCAGGAAAAATATCCTTCGTGCACTCACTAAAGACATCTAATGTGGCTCCTCGAGCACTCATCCAGGTCAGACTCCATGTCCACCCCTGGAATCTAGCCACACTAAACAGGAACACTCCATCCAATGTAGGCTCTCGAGCAAACTCATCCAGGTCAGACTCCATGTCCACCCCTGGAATCTAGCCACACAAACTGTCAAGCACACACACAAAGCCACAAAAACACCAGAGTCAAATCGTCCAATCCACAATAACCTCAAAATGCTCGGCTTCCCGTGCATCTGCAGCTGCCCCGACACCTGCGTCATCTCGTTCACTGGAAACAACCGATAGATTTATGCAGAGCGGGCGCACGTTCATTACCAGCAACAGATCGTTTGTGCATTTCTGCAAAGTGTCCAATGTGGGCCCTCGAACAAACTCATCCAGGTCAAACTCCATGTCTACCCCTGGAATCAAGCCACACCAAATCAGGAACACCTCTGCACAAACAAAGCTACAGCACCACCAGAACCGAATGCTCTAACTAATCAGCGCAACGCGCGTCAGCTGCGCAAAAATACACACAAACCCAGCACAACCGCCAACAAACAAGAACCAACCGTAGGACACGACCTGTCTCTAAAAGGCACACTTTGTTTAAACAAGCCCCCAAAAATATGTTACGTCCACCAAGGACACAACATATCGGAGGGCACTAAAGGCAAACTTTGTTTTGACAAGCCCCCAAAAATATGTTACGCCCACCAAGGACACAACATATTTGAGGACACGAGACGAAAATGAGGGTTCAAAAAAAGATATTTTATTAATAAATTCTCTCCGCTTTAGTTGTTCTTGGTTCGGCTTCTTCAAATGTTCTGCGGAGAGAAAAATAATTAACGGCCCTCAAATCCCGTGCCCCAAAAAAATAAAAAAAGAAACCCAAAGTAACAACAGAAAGTTGGACCTGGCAGGCCGATCAAACAGAATAAAACGGTACAGCAGGGGGCCAACCATATACAGGGCCGTCGAAGCCCCTACTGGTACCGGACTAAAGGCAAAAAATAACCTAAGCGAAAGAAAAATCGAAAACAGGACTACCGGTCCCGCCAGGCCAAAAACCTCAAGAAAAAAGTAAGAAAAAGGTAACAAAAATACCACATGGCAGGCTGGAACGTCCGCTGCAGGCCGCAGCGACAAGACAA